AAATTTCAGGTGAATTCATTGACTTTTCGGCAATATAAAGAATATTGCCCAAAATTTTAAAATTTTACTTTAGATTTGACGCCATATTGGTCCGCCATCTTGAAATTTTAAATTCTTCTTTACTTTTCTTGAAAGTGTTTAATTTTTATGCACCGATGGTTGAAAATAGAATTTAATTCTTACACTTTTTCGAGGTGAAAAAAATGTCAAACTTGAAAAATGAATTTTTTTGTGTTTTTTGACATTAAAACCGCCATATTTAATTTTGGTTTGGACGAAATTTATTTTTGACACCGGAATCGGAAAGAGCACATCCAAAACCTTTAGAAAATGTACCTCTGGTATAAATTGTCAACAGTTTTATTTATAATTACGTAGCTTGAAAATGACCAAAGAATTTTCACGAGTTGGGCGTTAATGGGTTAACTTAAATAATTCTGTTTTAAAAAGTTAATTTTAAAAAATTAAATTTATTTACATGCTTTTAAAACGAGGAAAACTGTCGAGGCCCTGATCAGAGCCCTATTTTATATCTAGTGAACACCCCACTTAGAGTTTTGGCCAGAATTTCTGGTCATACCCATAAGATAAAAAAATTCTTAAAAATGTAGTATAATTACTCCGTTTAATTAATTTCTTCAATTGTTTATAATTTTATTATGGGAACTAATTTAAAAAACTTAATTCATTTACACTTTATTCAAACGAGGAAAACTGTCGAGGCCCTGATCAGTACCCTATCTAAAATCTAATGAACACCCTACCTGGGGTTCTGGCTAGAAATTCTAGTCAAACCCCTAAAATAAAAAAATTATTAAATAACTAAAATAATGATTGCCTTTCATTGTTAATAGCTTCTACAACAAAAAGGAATTTTAAAAACTTTATTAAAAAAAAATTTTAATAGGGAAAACTGTCGAGGCCCCGACCAGAACCCTGTTTTAAATAGGACAAAGTGGGGCATTTTCTGCACGGGTCGGACTAAACCACACTAATTACGGATTCAATAGTTATAAAAAACGGTATTGATTTCAAACTTAATTCAGGGTGAAAAAACTCCACAATAAACCGTACTGTTGCGGACAAATTGCGGATTATTTCGAAATCGGTCCGACTTTTTATTTAGGGTACCGTAAACTGGGGCTATTAGGAACAAAATTCTGTTTTCGGGTGGATTTGATGCTATCGGCGCCGTTTGTCGATAAATTGTGTTACTTGCTTTTAAAAATTGTTGCTGCGGTAACTGGCAATTCTTTTTAATGCAATAATTTATTATTAATTTACAAACGGCGGGGATATAAGGAACACAATTCTTTCTTCCGAATTGTTAAAGTGTGTTGCCAAAACGTAAGTTTTTCGTAATTTCTTTTGTTTTTTATCACCTAATTTGGTTTTTAGTGTTCATAGATGGTTCGAAATTGTAAATACATGTTGGAAGCGACAAGTCGCAAAAAATGACCAGTGACTCTATCATTGACCTCAACTGATGATACCAGCAACGTTTAAAACACATATTCGCTCTTTTAGTTTTGTTTTTATATTTGTTTTAAATTGTGTGTACTTTTGAGCAATAAAAAATAAATTCTTTAACTTTAAATACGTTTTCCAATGGTTTTTGCCGTCTTGTTCCTAATAGCCCCATTTTGTAATTTTGAAAAAATGCGTCTTTTTCGTCTTTTTTGCTTAAAATTTCAGCTTTGATTAGGACAGTTATTTAACCCTTCAATGTGCTCGCCAAGATCAAGAAAAGAAACAAAAAATTAAGGCAATATTTCAATACACAAAAAAGTTGCAAGACTTCAAAGTTGAAATCTGTTCCTAATAGCCCCAGTTTACGGTATTTACTTTTGGTAAATAAAATATTTAATTCTGCAGTCAATTTATTTTTACAAATTTACTAGTATTATTAATTATCTTGTTTCAATATTATAATTAACACTGATGTGTTAGTTTTTTGGCATTTCTTTTAGTGGCACTTCATAAATTCTATTATCCCCCAGCGTTAGAAATTTTAAGTTAATGTAAATAAAATTGCGATAGGTAGGTATATCGAAATAGTATATTAAGCAACAAGGGTATAAAGGCAGCCATTTGTTTACGGTGATTTTTGTGACACGAGTGGAGGTCGAGGGCGCCCTGAGACCGGAACAAGTGTCACAAAAATCATCGTAAACAAATAGGCTGCCTTTATTCTCGTGTTACTTACGATATTTTTTATTCCTAATGCACAAAAGTGGCGATTTCAGATAGCAGACGACAGGGAGAAAAAGTCATTCACTTGTTCGACTTATATGAAAATGGCGGCCTATTTTCTCCCTTGGGCAAAAATAACGCATGGGATCAGCGGTTATGTTTGCACAAGGGAGAAAATGGACGCCATTTTCATATGGTCGAACAAATGAGTGACTTTACTCCCTGTCGTCAGCTATCTAAAAGCGCCATTTTTGTGCATGTGGGATAAAAAATATGTTGAATGTACAATAAAGTAATAATAATTAATATGTGTAACTTGTATATTTATTTTTTTATTAACATTCACTAAATTGTCTAGACTAATTTTTGACTGTTTCGGACTAATTCCGTATTCACTATAGTTGTATACAAATCGTATTGATTTAAGATTTATCCGGACTAATTTCGGATGCCAAACACCTGACAATAAATCGCACTGTTTCGAATAAATTCCGGATTCATTAGTTAAAATTAACTGATTAATTTCGGACTTCATCGGACCAACTCCAGATTCACTAGTTGTTCACAAACTGTAAAGAGTTCGGATTTTTCCGGATTAATTTCGGGTGACAAAAACCTGACCATAAACTGCACTGTTTCGGACAAATTTCGGATTAGTTCGAAATCTGTCGGGTTTTTTAACCAGGGACGCTACCCATATTTCTCTACGATCTGATGCTCTCCTTCGGCCCTCATTAACAATCTGAATATAAAATTTCACACAGTCTAATACAATTATTACACACAGATCATACGCAAACAATAGTCGAACAAAAAGTGAGGCAATGGCCTTTTTCGATTTTGAATAATTACTCTCGCAACCCCGTCTCTCAATTTTAGGATATTTGACTGACTTTTTGAGAAGGAATGTTACGTGAAAATAATTCTCCCGTCACAATGTAATGCAATTAATTTTGGAAAAATATTTTTTTCGATCGTAAGCCCTCTTTTCTTACACGTGGTCATATATAATCAGAATTAAACGCGTACAAAAAATATTTCTCAGATTTTCTGTGAGATTGTTTAATATAGGCACCTTTTGATATTCATACTCCTGACTATAAAGAGTTAAGGGCTATAACGAATATTTCTACGTTAACGTCGAGATTCTACTTTTCTGATATGGCTTTTTGTGTAGGCTGATGAACGGAGCTGTCTACTACCCCTCACTTCTATGTATGGTTAATTTTACAGTTCCTAGAGCAATTACTAGATACCATACACTTTTTTCAGTTTCATTCCATAGAACTAATTATGGTAATAACTTTTTAATAGATCAACTTAGTTAATCTCAAATGATATTGATTTTTTCTATACTAACACCTTGAAATTCAGATCAAAACTGCGTAATGTAATCTTCGACTCGAACCAATAAAAATATAGTCAACCTAGAATTAAGTTTAAATTTGTTTTATTTTGTTAATCATATTTCTGTGATCTTAAATTTGGAAGGTTGCATATTGCCTTAAGAGCTATATCTCGGATGATTTTTAAAATAAATTTGCTTCAACATTGTTCATCGATTAAACTTGTTTTAAAAGATTCTTAAACTAACTTTCTATAAGACGAATAAGGAGAGCAAGATCTATAAGTATATTAAGAAGTTACTTGACCACTTGTGCATATGATAAAAGTAAAGGAACAAATAGATTTAGCATGTTGGTTCTAGTACAAGCGATTGCAAACCCGTCTGTATGGAAGAAGACCAATTCCAGCAACTCCGGATACGTTAATGCACTGAATGTACTTTTCTGTATACGGACAACCTTTCTGTTTTTAAAGACCGCTTTCTCGTTCGCAAATAGTAACCGCGACACTTGATCCCCATTACCACTTTTGTCACTGCAAAAACTCGTGTCTTCAAAACGTCTAGACTAGAATAAAAGTCTAATTTCAAAGACAAAGTTTCTAAAAATTGGAGACAATACGATTTTTAGGCTGTACATCAATTTAAGTAGGGGAGAGTGGGGCAATGGTGTTTTTTTAAATATCTCCTTCATTTTTTGACTTTTAAAATTTATGTTTAAAGTTTAATTTAAATGCAATCACAGCAATTGTTAGAAAAATTGAAAAAAGACATAATTTAATAGTCAAAAAATGAAGGAGTTATTTAAAAAACGGCTTTGCCGCACTCTCCCCACACACCTGTTTTTGCAGTATATCCGTAATATTTCATATATATATATATATATATATATATATATATATATATATATATATATATATATATATATATATATATATATATATATATATATATATATATATATATATATATATATATATATATATCTTTTAATTTGATAAAAGGCGAAATAATTGTGTTTTTGTGCTCCACTTCTGGATAATTAATTTTTATGGTTGTCTGATGGTTATAGTTAACTGAAAGTTGAATCAATTCCCCTACAGCACCGAAAATTTCCTGAAAGTTTAATTTATTTGCAATGTTTGGAATATTTAATGCAAAGTTTAGTAAAAATTATTTAAAGAATTAAATGTCTCGATTAAATAACTTTAATCGGGATATTTAAATCTTTACACAGTTGTCACTAAACTTCGCATTTAAATATTCCAAACATAGCAAGTAAATATTTATTAAATTTTCGGTGCTGTGGGGTTTAGTAATATGTATGAGGTGAGAATATCACACGAGAGTAAAAAACGTTGACAATATATTATCATGAATGCAGTAATAACAACAGTAACAAGTATAATTAACAAGGAGAAGTAATTCTGAAATTATTCTAGTCATTAGTAGGACTTTTCACCTCGTTTTTCTTCAATTTTATGCCATGTCTTTTCTGCAGAAATGTAGTTTAAGAAACACGTGTTACTGACCCAATGTCAGATGGTATCGTTGGCAGAAATGTGGAATGCACGGTTACTGTGGTAGTTGTAAATTTTTCTTTGCATCTGTAACAGTGCGAAATCACATACCTCGTGAATAATGGCTGGCATGAGCAATATGCAGTGTTGGATTAACCCGAATTCCGTTGCAAATGGTTATCGCTGTATTCAGTGTTTATGCATATATACTCCATTGCTTCATATTTGCCCTACAATCAACGAGTAGAACTGTGCTGATCTCAAGCTCTCATCTTCGTCGCGTTTGCCTTTCAGCCCAAAGGTCTCAAGTGTCAGATGATACGTGTCTGCAAAACTGGACGTCGGCAACTTTGCAGACAAACACTTTCCAGTATGATTGATTCAATCTGCTCTGACCTAGTTCACACCCAGCATTTTATGGCGAATTTTCAACCTGCTTATCATACACCATGTTTCGATATAATCTTATTTGAGTGAAATCAAATTTTAGTAAAAATATTTACCAATATTTTTACGGAATTACTTATAAAGATTTATTACCCAATTCGAGAATTTTTTATTTTAATAATAAATTTTGCTAACAGTAAGCATTCATAGAACTTATTGCATTTGCATACCTTAAAAACTTTATGAAATAAAGGTTTGACTAATAACATCATTATAATGATGTAGGGGCAATACAAGTTCGCTGACTTCTGTCCAAAAATCATTAATTTCATGATTATATAATATATAATATATAATAAAATAATTTGTTATAGTGTTTTGAACGTTTGTTAAGGGGTTACATGGGTCAAAACGACCTGAAAACGTTTATTTTTTTAATAATTTTTTTTTCATTAAATAAAAAAATTTTTTCATTTAAACACTTTGGTATCTGAAAGTACACTATTAAATAAGTAAGATATAAAATTTTGGATAAAAAATATTAAAAATCAGGCCCGTATCAACAGTTCTTCGGGCCCCTTTCCAAAAAAATTGCTTTTGCGGTGGTCAAGATATCTTTTGACTGCTTCATCTAAAATAAAAATACAAAAAAATTTCTGTTAGTAGGTGAATATATCTCGTGATTGAACGAAGGGTTTTTGAAGAAATTGAAATGTGGATATTTGACAGTGTCTTTTGTCAAAAGTTACAATTTTTAGAACCATTAAGACCATGTAAAATCGGTTCTAATAAACAAAAAAAATATTCCTTTGTTCAATCACGAACTATACTCATCCACTAACAGAAATTATTCGGTTTTTTGATTTTCGATGAACCGGTCAGAAGATATCGTGACCACCGCTTTTTTGGGAGCGTTCTTAAAGAACCTGTTGCTACGGTCCTGATTTTAAATATTTTTTAACGAAAATTTTACAAGTTACTCATTTAATAATGTAATTTAAGATTTGAAAGTGCTCAAATAAAAAAATTTATTTATTTTATAAAAAAAATAATTAAACCAACATAAATTGTCGTGTCCCAAAAAAATAAAGTTTTTTTTATTGGGTCTCATCCCCTAAAAATCTTTTAATTTGTGTAAAAATAAGAACACAATATTTGGAAATAAAAAATTTTAATATTAACCCGTGGTTCAGAGCCTTTGTACCATAAAAACGTTAAAAATTTAGTGTTTTTTCATTTTTAACATAAATATAAATGTAAAAATATAATGATTAGGGTGTCATTGTAAAGATAATTAAATTACCTTTCGATCCATATGTCATAGTATAAGATTTAATGAAAATTAAGAGTGTTACAGTTGATTAAAGATCAAATTTCATGAAAATTTTGATGATTTTTAGACACTTAAGTAACTAGTACTTTCTTCACATTAAACAGTAAAAAATATTTAGATTTTAATTTTTTTATTGAGAGTCTGTAACATTACAAAAATCCGTAATTTAATCGTCGATTAAATTCGTCTCAAAATCCGTTACCCGATTTTGAGACGAATTCGATCGACTTTTATGAAGTTCTCCGCCATTTTGAAATTTGAAAAACTGACATTGGACTCTAAATCAGCGACTTCAGTATTTTTTTATCACTGATTTTAGTAAGTTTAGTGGTTATATCTAAATTTATTGTTTCAATTTTTGCTCCAAATGTTGAAGGAATGATAAGAATAAAAAAAATAGTTTCGTTCACTAAATCTAGTGTATAATTGTCATTTTCAATCAAATCGAGGTCCACAAGGGCTAAAAATTTTTGTAATATTACAGACTCTCAATAAAAAAATTAAAACCTAAATATTTTTTACTGTTTAATGTAAAAAAAGTACAAGTTACTTGAGTGTCTAAAAAATAAAAATCATCAAAATTTTCATGAAATCTAATCTTTAATCGACTGTAACACTCTTAATTTTCATTGAATCTTATACTATGACATATGGATCAAAAGGTAATTTAATTATCTTTACAATGACACCCTATTCATTATATTTTGACATTTATATTTATGTTAAAAATGAAAAAACACTACATTTTTAGCGTTCTTATGGTTCAAAGGCTCTGAACCACGGGTTAATATTAAAATTTTTTATTTCCAAATATTGTGTTCTTATTTTTACACAATTTGAAAGAATTTTAGGGGATGAGACCCAATAAAAAAAAACTTTTTATTTTTTTGGGACACCCTACTAAGCATTCCGTGTCGATCTTCGATGATAGACACCGAAATCACCAATGTGTACTACACTCGTAAATGTTTCTTCTGTTTCTTAAGCGCTATAAGGTCAAGATTTGCGTGTGTTTGCTGCAATTCAAATGTGGAATCTTAAAGGTTAGGCGTAAATATGTACCGAGGAGCAAGCGAGAATTTCAAATGTACAAAGAACTTTATACCTTCAGCTCAAAACCAGTTAACCTCTTTTATACGAAAATTCTATTTTTATGAAAAATAGACAACTTATGAAATTTGAGTTAAGATTTATTAAACATTTCTGTGCTCTCTCTACAGTCAGAGATTAAATTCTAATACAAAAAAATGTGGTAAATGATAGTCAAATTTAAATTATAAATTCTATATTGATAATAATATTTTAATCCCTGTAAAAAAAGAAGAATTGGGTGGTCCGGGATTTCGAATTGGGATGTCGTTTCTTGAATTCGAGAAAACGACTTTTTCGAATTGGACTGATTTCTGAATTCAGAAATGTATGGCTCCGCGATCAACCCAATTCGACAGATATTTTAAAGATGAAAATAAAGAGTTTTACACTTCACTGGACTTTGAACAGTAGTTAATTGAGACGGTGCACGTTATTCACGTAGGTGAATACATTTCTATAAGCAATAATGTTAATTTTCAATAAAATAGAGAGAATTAAAAATTTGATGTGGTCTTTGTTTACAATAGAGAAAGTTTTCTACTTTTAGGGTTATTAAAACAGCTTACTTACCGACAGCTGAGAAGTATTATGATAACAAATCAAATGATGATTTCTATACGAAAGTATCATTTACGTCGGTAATTGAATATTAATAAATTAATTTTCAATTTTTCTCTTTTAAATGTATTTAAAAGTAAATTGTAGAGAATTACAATAAAATTTTATAAAATATAATTAGAAACTTGATTTCAGTTTTTAATGATTTTAAGTATATAATTTTGTAATCAAACTTGGAATTAATTTCCTTTCCAGTTTTAGTATTTTAAAACATATAGTAGATTTGTTAAACATATTTTTTTTTAATTATTAATGCTCTTAATATTGATTTAAAATTTTCTAAATTGAAGTAAATTTTAATTTAATTGAAATTAAATAAAAAAATGAGTTTAAAAAACTGACAATTGCTATTAAATTGAAAGTAGGATTTAAAGATGTTAAAAGTAGTTAGAATATTTGGTTTTTAATTATAATTTAACAAATTAATGTTAACATTTTATTAATTTTGTAATGTTATTAATAAATGTGTAAAATATTAGTTACCAATTTTTTTTACATATTTTTTCAAAACAAGACAAAAAAATATATGAATTAATTTGTAATTAGAAATAAAGAAAATTAAATTCATTTACTTTCAGTTTAAGCTTTTTTAAATTTATTAAATTTGTTTAAACATTTAGAATAAAAAATGTGTTGATTAAATTACATAGGTCTTATACAATGCACAATATTTGATAAATAATAGGAATAAAGTCAGATATGATATTTTTTATCATTATAAAATATATTTATATATTTACAATAAACACATATCGTTTACGAACTTTCATCTTACAATTTTTTCTGAGATGTAACACTGTTAAGTGAATAATTTTTTTAACATATTACGCTTTTCGAAAGAATTTTGGAATAGCACGTGCTATTCCAAACACTAATACTTTTCAGAAAAAATTGTAAGATAAAAGTTCGTAAACGATTTGTGTATATTCTACATATTTATATAAATATATTTTATAATAATAAAAAATATTATATCTGACTTTTCTTTATATTACTTATCAAATATTGTGCATTGTACATGCCCTATGTAATTTAATCAACACATTTTTTATTCTAAATGTTTAAACAAATTTAATAAATTTAAAAAATCTTAAACTAAAAGTAAATGAATTTAATTTTCTTTATTTCTAATTATGAATTAATTCATATATTTTTTTGTCTTGTTTTGAAAAAATATGTAAAAAAAATTGGTAACTAATATTTTACACATTTATTAATAACATTACAAAATTAATAAAATGTTAACATTAATTTGTTAAATTATAATTAAAAACCAAATATTCTAACTACTTTTAACATCTTTAAATCCTACTTTCAATTTAATAGCAATTGTCAGTTTTTTAAACTCATTTTTTTATTTAATTTCAATTAAATTAAAATTTACTACAATTTAGAAAATTTTAAATCAATATTAAGAGCATTAATAATTAAAAAAAAATATGTTTAACAAATCTACTATATGTTTTAAAATACTAAAACTGGAAAGGAAATTAATTTTTACTTAAAATCATTAAAAACTGAAATCAAGTTTCT